ATCATGAGGCAAACTGTTTGGTTATTAGTTGCAAATCTTCATCCAAACAGGTTAATTTTGTGTGTATGTATGTATATAGATTAATCCAGATTAAATGTGCTTGTCTTATTTTGTAGATATTTTCGTAAAGGCTGTTACTTTGGACTAGCGTGCTTTGCCAATATGCCCGTGGAGAGTGAGCTGGAACGAGGAGCTCGGATGAAATCTGTAGGGATTTTGTCTCCTTCTTACACACTGCTATACCGTTACATGCACTTCCTGGAAAATCAAGTCCGGTAAGTGCATGCTTGCTTCACGTTGTACCTTGTTATGTCTCTTTCTCTTACTCTTTTGCACGCATCACTTCTATTTTAAGATGTTATGTATTAAACATAAGCTCTGAGTTGCATGCGATGTGACACGGAATTTGTTTAATTTGGACTCACTTCACTTCATCTCTTCTTCAATCAGTTAAGGTTGTAATATGCAGCATGCAAAATTGTAATATAAAGTTGATCAACTGCGTTAAAAATGTCTGTTGCTCAATGTCTGCATTTAAATAAAGCAACTTCCTGGTAAGTGCAATGCATTTTATGACAACATCAACAGTCTGCACATGCTTTCTTGAAGGCACCAGTTGCAGTGTCCAGGTCAATACTCTCCACTGGAAGCTTTCTACGAGGATAAAAAGGCAGTGTTGCCTCCGGGAGGGAACGGTTTGGTCACAGCCTGCCCGACCAGTGCTCTTGGGCCCATAGTCAACCGCTGCATGCATCCAGAGATGAAGGTTTGAAGATATAAACCCAACATTATCTGTCACTAATCAAAGCTTCAGCCTCCATTAAATTCCAGTTCAATGAAATATATTTTAATGACAGTAGTATTAGATCATTAGATTTTTTTCCCTTTTTCTGATGTGTCTTTTTCTAGTTTCTGAGGAAATCTAGGCCAGGCCACTCAGGGAATTTCATGTTACTGATTAACCAGGGTGCAATACTTCTGCAACTCCTATCAGCTTTATACGCATGGGAGAGTTTAATTTCGTGAAAAAAACTATTGTCAGACAAATTTCTCTGTCCACAAACCACAAGATCCTCTATTGTTAAAGAAAAATTCCATACTCTTGTTGAAAAATATGCTGAGGTATACTTTAACTCAGTACTAGATTTGGTTATGCTGTTTGTTAAATAAAGCCTTGTTCAGTCTTGACGATGCACTTTCTAAATCCATGTTTATGGTTTTTATAGTAATAGTGAAATAAAATTGGTGGTAAATATAATAAAAATTATGATATCCGGTATTAAGTACACAAACATTATTAAAAATATATATTTTTTAATTAAATTGTTCTTTGAACTTTGAATAATTGCACTATGAATTTACTAGCCTGTCAGGGGATTTAAAAAAAAATAAGACTTGATTGAATGACCACTTCTAATAATCAGCCAAATGCCTGTGATTATTGGCTGAATGGTCTTTCACTGAATGATCTTTAACTATTATTATAATAATATTTTTTTTATAAATGAATATATTTCATTAATAATTATACAAATTTTTATGATATAAAAGCTGCCATGTTTTCTTATAAACTTTAAGATCCTGTTTAATACATGTGATATGTCTATCATTTAATAAGAGATCAGAAGCACAAATCATGTCCCTTTTCTGTTCTCTGTCCATCTCCGATCAGATTACACACCCAGCTGGCTGCATGTCCCAGTTCATCCGCTTCTTTGGAGAGCAGATCATGGTGCTGTGGAAGTTTGCTTTGCTCAGGAAACGCATCCTCATTTTCTCTCCTCCCCCTGTCGGTGTGGTCTGCTATCGGGGTGAGAGTGGAAATCCATTTATTAAGACATGGCTGTCTTAATGTCTATGCATATTTTTCTTGAGCTTGAGAATCCATTGATAAAGATCATGTACATGCTCTTGCACATTGTCATTGATTTGTGCATTTTTATAGTCTGTAACTCTAGTAGTGTTTTCACGTTATATCTCATGGTTATTTTGATACTTTATGTTTTTTGACTTGCATCTCTTAGTATACTGTTGCTGCTGCCTTGCTAATGTATCCATTCCTGGGATGGGCGTTTCTGTTCCGGAGTTCCGCCCTTTCTTCTACATCAATGTTGCGGACATCTCCGCTCTTGAGACTGAGCTGTCTTACGTGGCCTGTAAGTGTCTCAGTCAAGAAAAGGACTAAAGTTGGAGTGAAAATTCATAATTACACAGGCACAAAAAGGTTTTAACGGTTGGATGTTAAAGGGGTCATATGATGTTGCTAAAAAGAACATTATTTTGTGTATTTGTTGTAATGAAATGTGTTTATGCGGTTTAAGGTTAAAAAAACCCATTATTTTCCACAAACTGTACATTATTGTTTCTCCTCTATGCCCCACCTTTCTGAAACGTGTCGATTTTTACAAAGCTCATCGTTCTGAAAAGCAAGGTGTGCTATGTGCTAACACTGCCCAAAAAACTCACTTTAAATATAAAAAATATAAAATATAAAAACTCTTTAAATATAAAAAACTTACTTACAGTCTTTGAGTCAGAACAGCCGGCATTGTAGTCTACTCTACCAGGATCAGGAAACAGTCCTCCATAAAATGCGCTGCACACATCTGAATATTTGGGTTGAAGTGTTCTGGAACAGTGTTGTAAATACAACTTAACCACTGATTTCTAGTCGTGTCGATTTTTGGAAAGCCAAACAAAGTAGTTTCGCATTCACAATGAAACACAGTGTCACACGGCGGCCTAGAATGGCAAAGTAGTTTTGCTTTCACAATGAAACACACAGTGCCTTCACGACATGGCGGTGGCAACAACAATACTACAGCGAGAATAAAAGTTACGCCTTCTTTCTTTGTGTGAACATTTGTGCGGCGTTATGCAAATCTTCCCACATAGTGAGGTAGATATGTGGGGGCGTATTAGAACAAGCCGTTTTAGGTAGGCGTGGCTGACTCTTAACTTTTATAAAGAATATTTCTTTGGATTTGAGACTTTAGTCTTTGCAACTTTACAGATCTTCTTTATGCACCAAGAGCTTGTAACACTCCAAAGAGAAAGGAAAAATTTTAATTGCATCATATGACCCCTTTAAATAACATCTACATCTAGAATGAGGAAATAAGAACCTTTACTTCCAACATAAGTAGTAGTTGGTAAATTAGTAAGAATGTTTCTCAGTAAGAATAAATCAGTGGAGTAATTTTTATTTGGGTTCTCAGGTACAACAGAGAAGATCTTTGAGGAAAAGAAGGAGCTGTATGATGTCTACATTGACAATCAGAATGTAAAGACACATAGAGAGAGCCTCCAGCCTCTGCTTAGACTCAACAGTGCAGACCGAGAGAAGTATCGCAAGCTCTGTGAGCAAAGGTATGTCCGCCTTTTAAAATCTCAAAAGCTTATGAGGAAAAACAATCTGAAAACATATTGTTCCACAGGCATATGATGATGTTGATATGTTTGCAGGCAGATGCTGCTGTACTCTCAGGAGGTGGATGGAGACTGCACATCTAATGAGGAAGACCTCTTCATTTTGTACGTGATGGAATTACACGACTCAGCACAATGATGGAAGTTTATCACATCAGCAGATTTGAATGAGACAGAAAGAGTATTTGGAAGAGTACAATACACTTCTTGTGAAAATAGTTTAACTTTCTTTAACCTTGATTAAGCGATAATATTGGGAAACTGATGGAAATGCAATACTATATTTTCATACTTTGAATTGTGCATAGTATGATAATAATTGTCATTATTACAGTTCAAAAGTTTGGGGTTAGTAAGATTTTTTTTAAAGTTCTCATGCGTACCAAAGATGCATTTATTTGATAAAAATACAATAAAAACAGTAATATTGTCATCCTTCACAAATTATTCTAATATTCTGATTTGCTGCTCAGAAAACATTTATTATCAATGTTAAAAAAAAGTTGTCCCAGTTAATATTTTTTTTCAATGAATAGAAAGTACAAAAGAATATCATTTATTGAAATAGAAGCATTTTGTAACAATTTATTGTAAATGTCTTTACTATCAATTTTGATGCATCCTTCCTGGAAAAAAGTAGAAATTTCTTTAAAAAAAATTACAGGCCCAAGATATTTCAGTGGTAGTGTATTTGTTGTCAATTTATATGATTGCATATAGTAAGTTAGTAAGTGCTGTGATTAATCTGTATGTAATTTCCCTCTGTTTGTGATCCAGGTTTTTCATGGAGCAAAACAACAGAATCTTCCAGACCCTGTCTGAGGTGGCAGGGAGCGCCGATCCTACCCTGACTGCTGAACACGTGAGAGCCATGGGGCTGGATCCTCAGGGTGACCGCGGTTTTCTCGTCGATCTGCTGGAAATCTATGGCATCGACGTCATGCTGGTTATCGACAACCCCTGCTGCCCGTAAGACTCTCAGCCTCTGCCTCTCTCTCTGGAGCCCATTTTCTTTTAGGGCTACAACACACTGCCTACTGATTACCTGCTTTCTTTTCTCTCTTTCTCTGGCTTGGCTATCTCAGGAGCCATTCCTGACCCCTCTGGACTGCACTGATACTGCCAACACCAAAAGGTGCAATCCGTCTGCAGGCTTTTTGTACACTCTGCAGCCAGTCAATCCACTGACGTCTTTCTGCTTGTCTGTCTATCTTATGTGCTTGGTATCCTTCCAGCCATCTTGGATTTCTACTCGACTTGTTTCCAAAACATGATGATCTCTGTGCCTCTCTCTACTGCTTTTTATTGTGTGGTCTTCAGTTGTGACTTTGTTCTTCTAGCCAGTGCTGTCTGGGGGAACTGATGTGAATATAAATCTGCTTCACTTGGACACCAGAGAATTGGAAAAACGGTCCATCAACGGGGCAACTCTCACTTCCCGGATCCACGTATTTATGCTGGTAACAGCGGTTTGGTAAAGTCTGCTTTGAATGTCATATCTGTATTTCTAAAACTTTTATGGATGTTGCACACAGTACTGTGATGGTGAAGATTTTCACAATCTTTGCCACACTTAATCATGTACATGTAAACAGTCATTTCATTTTGGGGAAAAAACAGACATCAGTCACTGTGTTTGTTGTGTTACTTGTGGATTTTTATTGTGCATGGACACATAGACACAATCAGTTCACTACTGTAGTTTGGCACAGCACTTATTGATGTATATGAATGGGAGTGAACAACAGTGTAGAAGGTTCTCAGTCATTATTTCACTACCCAAATGATATCTGATGAATGTGACTCATTTCAATGCTGTCTACGCCATTCTCTGTTCAAGCATTTGCTGTTATTACACTTACTAAACGGACTGAACACTAATGAATTGAAGCATAATGTGTATTTGTTCATTCTGGACAGGCCTTTAATCACTGTCACTCTTGGTATTGAATGCAAATTGTACATTTAATGCACAGTCTGATGCACATATGATTTAAACAGACACAGAAATGTTACATTCAGCTTTTTGAGTCCCTTAATTTGCTCTTAAGAAATGAATGTGATTCTATTCCCGTCTGTCATCAGTGAATGCTCCTGATTATTACCTGTTAAAGACTTTGAATATGTATATACTTGGGGTTTCTTATTTAAATGTATTTGGGTCGATCATTTCTGGAGAGCAGCAAACTGGCCTCACAAGGCTGATTGATTGTGGTTTTGTGTGCGTTTATATGTTCATCCTGTGAAAACCCTAACTGGACACTTAATTATTCATAAAGCTGGTGAAGTTTAAAAGAAAAGTATTTACTTGACCTTTTGAGTTTACAGTTTCCTTTCATCTAATTTTCAACCTTCTAATAAAATAATGATAATTGATTATTTGAGAATGAGTGCAGGCACTCGGGTTTGTCAGTTTGATGGATGAAGTTCTTTAAATTACGTGAAATAAAAGTTAAATTAACAATAAATAATACTGTTGCTTATAACCTAGATTTGATTAAATGTGAATATTGTTTTTACATTTATCTATCAAAGAACTTTCTGTATTATAAATCTTTGAAACCATCCTCTTGTAGGATGTTGGTTGGTTATTTAGTGTCCTATTGTAAATGAATGGAAATGTATATTATTGTACAGGTCGTCTGGTATTGTGTATGCGTGATATTTTTTGTGAGTTATCTAAGTGTTGCACAAGTCTTTGTCACAATAACAAGCGCAAAGAATGTTGGGTTTTACTCTACTAGGATCACAAAGCACTAGTGTAATGCCTGTCTTACACACTACCTATACAGTAATACAAACTAACAGCATGTGTCTGTTGTTTTAAAGCCAGTGATTCTTATTCACTGCCATTTTGAAATAAACGGTTCCTTCTTTTCTATCACATGCTTTGTTTGTGCAGTATTTGGGGGTTGATTTGAGAAAAACAAAACACTGGTTTACCTGAAGGAAGCTACAAGATTATCACAAATGCAGGCGGAAGTCTTAAAATAAGCAAAATAAGAGATTGATAATGACTTTTATTCTTGGTCCTCATCTGGTCAGACACATTCAGTATCATGCGAGTTTCTTAAGCAAGTTCTTGAGCCAAAAAAAAAAAAAAAACATTCAAAGTAAACCTGAACATTATGCCTGTATTAAGTTAATAACATCATCCATGCTGTTAAAAAAACATCAAAATGACAATTTAACTGCTGTTTCTTAAAGTCCATAGACCACAGATTGTTCAGTTGGAGTACGGTGATCTTTATGAGAACTCAAAAGTTCATTTGACTCCTCTTTTTGTTGTAACTGGTATGTTTTCCAGTTTCATCAGCAGTTCCTCAGGCTCCTCTGCACATATTAACACAACTGTCATCACTGAGCCTGTGCAAGCTGCTCTCTGCGCTCAGCACTGCAAAAGAACCTCAGTTTCCGTGGCAACAGTCTCACTTCCACAGACATAGCCTCATATTCCTCATTGTCAATGCCATAAAAGCCGGCACCCTCCTGTGGACAGGAGAAGAAAAGCAATAGATCATAATGGCTGCATCACAGCTTAGATCAATGGATGATTACAAAGGAATCAGTCCCCCAAACTTTTTCAAATAATATACTGACCTCTGGGAGATTGAGACTAGCAGCACTGGCCTCTATCTGCGAAGCATCTTCTATGGACTCCATCGGGTTCAATACTTTCTTAGTTCTGAATGACAAAGTATTATTCATTCATACCCAAAAATCTAGAAAGGTTCTAACGGCAAATTTAATTAAGTTCACTGAAGTTCAGCAGACAAAAAAGTGCAAGTGATTCAATATGAGGTCAAATTTCCATTTCTCCTTTCACAAGCAGTTTGGGGAATGACACTCACCCCTCAGTGATGAACTGACCAACTGTGAGGGAGTCTGAGTCCAGAGTTATCACCATAGAATCGTCCTCACGCTGAAGACAGTAAACAACACCAATCAGGAGAAATTCTATTGAATTTATAATACAAACATTCCCATGAAGAGCAACTATTATGTCAGTACTCACTCTCTTGACAGGGTTCTTATTGTGTGTGCTAACTGTGAGCTCCAATGTGGAAATGTCTTTGCTCTCCCATCGCTCTGGCTCAGGCTCTTTCTGTGGCTCTACCAACAGAAAATATATTATTATTAAACATGAATTCAAATGTTAGACATCCTTCAGTCTCAGCCTCAGAAGTCACACCCATGGACTGATTCATAAAACACACAAAATGGAAAAAGTCACGGTGTTTACAATTGTAACAACGAGCACTTATCAGGATCAGCTAAATGCTGGTTTTTCAAAAGTATGTGAAGTTCACAGCATAGACCCTTGATGACTGAAGACATTGTTCTTGAATTAAGGTTTATAAATGATTATGTTTTGAACCTGCTTCGAGACAATATTAGAATGCTAATATCCATAAGCTATATTCTATATGATGAAATGTTTATAAAAGTGATAAACCACCTTCTATAGGAGGGTTCCAGTAGTTCTTGAGTCTGCGGTAGATGCGGTAGAGGAGGTTCGGCCGGGGTGGTATTTCAGTGGGAAGGTCAGGTGGACGAGGTACAGGAGCCAGATAGGAGAGGGAGGCCTGGTGAGACTGTGGCCACTGCTGTAAGAGAGAAGATATTGTGATCAATCCAATACTAACTCACATGAAGGCCTTAATATATGATGCAACTGAGCTATCAATGTCATTGAAGTACTCCTTTAAAAACAATGCAAAGCAGCACTCACCTTAAGGCTACTAAACCAATGTGCTGCTCTTGTTTTCAAGGGGCCAAGGTACCAATATCTTCAAGGAAAAATTCACATTAGAAATACATATTTGCATTTTGTATTTATGCTGTGAATAAAAAATGTATAAGCATACTTGCTGATAGAAGCAGTGACGTCTCTGAATGCACCCCAACGCAAGCCAAACAGAGCAAACACTGGCTGCTCCTTCTCACTCTAAAAACAGAAATTACACAATCAACTCTGTGTGGAAAAAAAGCTGACAAACCTTAATGAGTTCTTTTTCAAAATGCCTATCAAATGTACTTTTATCTGCAGAACATCCAGTGGAACAGTTTCTCCTTTCAGTATTGACAGGGTTGCAGAGGTAATGTGCCTGAAAAACCAGAAATAGATGACATCGGATCATAACACACTTTGGCAAAAAAAATCTTGAAAAGTGAACTCACTTACTGTACTTTGTTGTCAGAAACCAGATGTAGACTCTGACTCAAAGAGTTACTGGAACCCAGAGGAATGAAACCGATTGGTATTTTACTGAAGGTCTCCTGTGGTTACAGTAGTTCAGATTCAGAAATCTCTGGAATGTGCAATAACTTAATATAGCTTAATAACTTAAATAAGACTTTTTTTTATTACTAGTAAATACCTCATCAACTCTGCGCAGTAAGCCAGTTATCACCTGTGTGAAAAAATCAACACATGCAAACATTTAAATATGGTCAAATTGTCAGAAATATATATATTTTTTAAATAATCCCACTTTATGAAGATACTTTTGTACCTCCTGTAATGTCCCATCACCTCCAGCAATGATCAGCATATCTGTTTGATCCATCAATTCCATGAGCTTTTTTGCCTGGCCTTCATAATCAGTCTGTTACAGGCAATTGAGCAGCAAATCACAAATTATTAAGACACTAAAATACATACAAAAAGAGCCTGTACCAAAGGACCTAAGCACTTAAATCAATAAAGGATGTTACCTTCACAATTTTGACCTCCACACCAGCTAAGTGTAAAATGGGAGCTGCATTCTTCTCAAACAAACTATTAGCTTTTCTGCAGAGAAAATATAACTATGATAACACAAACGAACTGACATAGCTAAAAAAAAACTGATTTATGGCACAGTGAGGGCCAAGTGTATAATCATACCTATTACAGGCAGCAGGATTTAGAATGACTATGGCTTTCTTCAGATGCTCCTGAGGTCCAATTAACTGATGACCAAATGCCTGGAAATCACATACAATATATTTAACTGTAATGAACCTTCGAGTACTGGGTATCAGGGTCATTACAGTTAACTAAAACTATAACTAAAAAAATAACTTCATTTAAACTAGTTGCCAAAGCAACAGTTCTCATTTTCATTTAGTTTAACTTGATGTACTAAAATAACTCAACTGAAATAAAAATGGGAAAAAACTAAAACTAACAAATTATTAAAATGACATTTGAGCACGTTATTTTCAAACTACATATTCCTTACCCTGGCCTCTATACATGCTTCTCGTCGCAGCACATTGTCACTGTGAAAAAAGTACAACATTAGTTGGTAGACAAATATACATACATTCAGATAGACAGACAGACAGACAGACAGATAGATAGATAGATAGATAGATAGATAGATAGATAGATAGATAGATAGATAGATA